AAAAAAAAAAAAAAAAAAGTCCTCTAGTAGAAAAGAATTCAGCTCAATGTTTAGGAGTTTCAGCTGGCTGGGAGTTGTGGCACAGGATGAGTCAGGGGGATCTTTGGGAGTCAGAAAACAACCAGCCTGTATATAGTCCAAGGACAGCCTGAACTACATGGGGAGACCCCATCTCAAAACAACAAACAAAAAGAGTAAAGGGGCCATTCTAAACTGTTTTTAGTCCCTACTGCTGCCTCATTCTAGAATCACAAATAAACCAAATTAAGATGTGAAAAACTAGGGGAAAGGGCAGATAATTATTTTGTATTCCTGCTATGTCTCTTACCTCAAACACACACACACACACAAACAGTAACTATGAAAAAAAAAAAAAAAGCAAACAGTAACTATGTAAACAGCAGCTATGTTATTGCGCTTCCCTATGGTGATTATGTGCCATATGCATCCGTAACATTGTAACATACCTTAAATACACATAATGAAATTCTTTTTTAAAAAAAGAGTAAGGCACGCTGGGGATGGAAGCTCAGTGCTAGACACTTGCCTAGCATGTGCAAAGCCCTGGGTTCAATGCAGGGGGGGAATCTACATGCCCAGATATGGAAAAATGTGTACTACAAAAGAGAAGTAGGGGGCTGGGGATTTAGCTCAGCGGCAAAAGTGCCTGCTTGGCAAGCGCAAGGTCGTGAGTTCGATTCCTGGTAGGAGTGGGGGGACAAAAAAAGAAAAAGATACTACACACACGGCTGTGAATATAGGTTAGTGGCAGAGGGCTTGCCTCACATGTACAAGGACCTGGGTTCAATATTCAGCATGGCAAAGAAACAAACAAACAAAATAGTATCTGCACTTCTGTAGCTGTAAGGATTTAGTTCACATTGTTTTTTATCACATGTTTGAACCTCTCTTCTTTCAGCTCTGGTACTGCAGAAAAACATTTAGGTAGATGACAAAAACAATTGTATTACAACATTAATAGCACTGATACTATTAAATCTTAGGTTTCTGACACAGAGTCTCACTATATATAATCAAGGCTTCCTCCAACTTTGTGGTGATCCTCTGCAGCATCAAAAGAAAAGACCAGCTGGGGATATAGCTCAGTAGTACAGCACTTCCCTTCCAAGCATGAATTTACGAGTTCAATTCCCCGTACCATCAAAAAAAAAAAAAAAAAGTTAACACCGAAAGAAATGACCAGCTGGGCGTGGTGGCACACACCTGTAATCCCAGCACTCAAGGCTGAGGCAGGAGGATCGTGAGTTGGTGGCCAGCCTGAACTGCATACTGAGACCCTGTCTCAAAAAGACAAAAGAAAATAAAGACTAAAGGAGAAAGTGAGTAGGAAAAGAGCTCTTGTGATATTTAAATACATCAGGCATGGTGTCACATTCCTGTAATCCCAGCACTTGCAAGGCTGACAGGAAGATCACAAATTCAAAGCCAGCCTGAGCTACATAACAGACCTTATCTTTAAAAAAAAAAAAAAAAAATGGGGCTGGGGATCTAGCTCAGTGGCAAGCCTGAGGTTATGAGTTTGATTCATGGTACCAAAAAAAAAAAGACAACTGGATCTTTGGTGAAGTGTGGTTTCTTACACCTCTAATAATTAGCCAAGCAGATTCTCGGGGAAAAAAAAAAAAAAATAATTAGCCAAACAATAAGCTGGACTACTCAAAATTAAAAGCATTTGGGCTGGGCATGGTGGTGCACAGCTGTAATCCTAGCACTTGGAGGCTGAAGCAGGAGGATTGCTGAGAGTTCAAGGCCAACCTGGGCTACAAAGTGAGTTCAAAGCAAGCCTGTACTGCGTAGTGAAACCCTGTCTCAAAAAGAAAAAAAAAAATTAAAAGCTTTTGTACTGGAAGATACCATTACCATCAAGAAAACCAAAAAATCCATAGCATTAGAGAAAATATTTGAAATCATGTATCTAATACAGGTCTCGAATCCAAAATACTACACAAAGAACCAGCCAGGAATGGTGTTGCTGTATAATCCCAGCACTTGGGAAGCTGAAGAGAATCACAAGAGTTCTTGGGCAGCCTGGGCTACATTAAGTTCAAGACTTAGCCTGGAATACACAGTGAGACACTGTCTCAAAAACACAGGGTTCCCCTTTTCTTTCTTTACCCAGAGAGGTATTAGGGACTGAGCCCATGCTTTTGCAGTGAGCTACATGCCTAGCACTTTGAGATAAGATCTCACTAACTCATTAATGCTGTCCAGGCTGGGTTTGCTGTTGTATCCTCCTGCTTCAGGATCCCAGAGTGCTGGGATTAGAAGTGTGCACTACCACACCTAGTCACAGTATACCTTTTAAGGGGGCCAAAAATGTGGTGATGGCTGAACTTGCTAACACAGATAAGCTCAGTGTGATGGTGCACACCTGTAATCTCAGCACTTGGGAGGCTGAAGCAGGAGGATTGTTGTAAGTTCAAGACCAGCCTGCGCTACAAAGTGAGCTTAAGGCCAGCCTGAACTGCATAGTGAGACGCTGTCTCAAACAGACCAAAAAAAAAAAAAAAAGGATGAAATATGAGATGGTACACTTTATATCAAAACAAAACAAAGTCTCACTATGTAGTTCAGGCTGGTCTTCAACTCATGTGGGAGCCGGGGGTGACCTCATATTCCTGGTGATCCTCCCCGTCACCCTCCAAAGTGCTAGGATTAGATTATAGGCATGGGCCACCACCACACTCAACAGTACACTAGGCGTAAATGAAGCACTTGGGAGGCTGGAGCAGGTAAGAGGATCACCCTGAGTTCAAGGCTGGCCTGGGTTGCATAGTAAGTTCAAGACCAGCCTGAACTACAAAGTGAGACCCTGTCAATTAAAAAAAAAAAAAAAAATCTGTTACACACAGATTTCTGTCATTCCAGTAATTGCACCTGGCAATGACAATTGTCCTCCTTGTGAGCCAAGTACCCGGTGCTCGGAATTATTCAAACTTCTCAACTTGTTTCACTCTTCAAACAAGGCAGCTCCAAAGCCAGAGATCATAACTTCCATTCCTTCTGGATCCCCCAACGGAAACTCAAAAATTCCAGAAAGTATTTGCTAAATGCCTGCTGAAAAGGCTACTGAGCATGTCCGGCTTTGACCAAGTCAATTCAACAACGTTCCACAACAAAAAAAAACTACTTCCCGCGTAAGGAGGTGGAAGAGGAGAAAAAACAGGCACAATGCCAAGGCATTCTATCTAAATGATGGGTTTAAGGAAAGGCAAGCTTCATGAACCAAGCAGAAAAGCACTTGCAGCTCAGACATGACACTCGGTAAAGTGGTGCGGAGTCAGGACCAAAAAAAAACCCACAACCTTAGATCCAAGCGTGAGGGAAGGTCAGCTAAGGATGAAAGATGCCAATGACCAAAGATTCATAATGCTCTGACAATGAGGGCTGCAGAGTCAACACCAATAAAAGATGCACTTCACATCCAGTAACTCTTTTTGCAAAAGAAAATACTAAGCCATGGCCAAAACTAACCACGAACGTTTGCTAAACTCTCACCCCTACCTGCAACATCTCCACCGCCATCTTCTGGATGAGAATCCAGCACCCTTTCTAAACGGCTTTCAAAAGCATCACCTCCGCGCAAAGCCCGGGAAGGCTGCGCTTCCAGGGCGCCCGGACAGCGGAAAGGGCGCTCTCCACGCCTCCCAAAAGCACGCGAAGGGCCGCGTCTTCCTTCCCCCACCCCGCCCCAGCTTTCCAAGGTCCGGCGCGAGGGGGCCGCAAAGTGCGGTGCACGGGCCTCACCTGCAAACGCCGCGGATGCAGGGCTCCAGCCAGATGCGGTAGGCGGTCTCGATGTGCTCCTGCGACACCTCCTCGGGCCGCACCGTCTCCGCCCAGCGCCAGGCCGCCTTCTCCAACTGCAGCCGCGGAGCCATGGCCTTGGCCCCAGGAGCGCCCCCTGAGCCGCGCCGCGGTCGCCGCCTCTGCCGCCCAAATGGGCTCCGCCACCTGCCAGCGAAGAGAACCAGGAGCTCCCTGAGCCAGCTGGCCAGTCAATCACCTGTGCGCGCCACTGCCGCCGCGCCCGTCCGCGCCCAACACGCACGACGGGCCGCAAAGCGCCGCCGCCGACACCCCACACCCCCATCCCCCGCGTAAGCGGAGGGCAGAAGCGGGCTCCCCACCTGGTACGGCGCATGCGCGTTCCCAGCAGTCCCTGCGCCTCCCGCGCTGGTAACCCCGCGGTCGGAGGAAGTGGAAGCGGTTGTCCAAGGCAGGCTTGCCACGTCCTCAACGCGGCAGCGGGGGAAACAGCGTTTCAGCCCCTCTTCGGAGTAGCGCCCTAGATACCACTACTCCAAAAGCCTACGCCTGGAAGGAGGCCAGAAGGTTGACAGCTCTTGCCTCCGGTACTCCCCCCCTTTATCTGAGAAGGATTCACGCGAGAAGCTATACAGCGCACAGCATAGGTCCGCCCGGACTTTAGGGTGGGGCCTGTTTACAGTAGAAACACAGTGCTAAAGAAATCAAGGTCGGGTCTCTGGGAGAATTTGAGCCTGGGTCAGTTCCGACTTCTTCCCGAACACTCCTGACGTCACGGGGCGTTCTAAGGTTTATTCCCGACCTAGAACAGGACTACGCGTCCCGGCATCCAGTGCGTCGTGCCACTCGCGAGGTGCGAGGCATGCTGGGATGTGTAGTCTTGGAGATGGGCGGGTTCTGCGAGCCGCAGTGCGCGCCGAGGTGCACACAGGTGCCAGTGGGACTGTTCTGCTAGCAGGGTTTACCTGTGTTCATCCCTTCGTTTGTTAATTTTTTTTTCCATTTTTGTGCTTCTACCCCTTGGCTCCAGGCTATAAAAACATTTCCTTTTTGTACTGTATCTCCTGCTGCGGGATATGAAGAATAACTTTACTTTAAATGTCAAATGGGAGCCCTGCGGAGATGTTAGAAATTTCTGATTCCACTGCTTACCGGCTGGGTAATCTTGGTTTTGGGTTTTTTTTTTTTCTTCCGGTACCGGGAATCAAACTCACGACCTTCGCTTGCCAGGCAGGCACTGTGCAGCTGAGCTAAATCCCCAGCCCCTACCGGCTGGGTAATCTTGAACCTTGAACGGCATTCGTAAAATATTTGTTGAAGGGTAGATAAAAATAAGACGCCATTCGTGCCCTTGGAGGGGCAGGGGTTGAGCAATAGAAACACAGAGTAAGATCCCCTTCCCAGTCTTGGGAGAATTTGGAGTACTTGGGAGCAGGCTTCCCAAAGAACCCCCAAACCCACCAATTAAGGGAATTTACAGGGTTGAAAAGTCACCATTCCAGAGCCAGGCGTGGTGGTGCATGCCTGTAATCCCAGCACTGTAATCCCAGTGAGACTCTTGTCTTCAAAAAGAAAAGAAAAGAAAAAAAAAAAAAAAGCCACCATTCTAGATGAATGACACAGAAAAAAACTTTTGTTTTTTGAGACAGGGTCTTCTACGTAGTTCACTCTGGCCT